TCAGCTATGAAATAAGAATACGTCCAAAACAACATTCAATTCGAAAGAAAAACACAAACAGAATAAAACGGAATTAAAACATAGTTCACCCATCTTCTTCCAAACCCTAGACTTGCTTGCACTCCATGGCGGCGGCTTAGGAGGAGGACGCGTCCGCTGCTCATCCACCTCAATAGTCATGCTTTTGTATTGATTGGCGATATCCTCCTTTGTCATCCCTTGCTGCTGAATCGAAACCATACTCCGCAACAGCTTATCCACCTTTTCTTTGTCACACTCGACCTTCGACCAGAAACAACAGCAAAAGTCGAGCATTGGCCGCCAAAGCGCTGCATCCCTAGTCTTGAGCCTGCGAGCATGACCGAAATCGACCGATGTCCGCTCTTCGTCGATGACGAAGCGAAAGAAACAAAACTCTAACTCGTAGGGAGATGACAACTAGAGAGAAGACTCTCCAATTACTAATTTGGAAGTTATTATGTTCGTCTTATCTTTATTACTTATTGTTTATTCTTATTTTATTCAAATCAGATTAGGTCAGAAAAACTCAGATCAGATCAAATCAGAAAGATATGGATCAGATCAGATAATAAAGATTCAGATCATATCTGAAAATTTCAAATCAGATAAGATGAGAAACATTCATATCAGATCAGAAAAGTTCAGACAAGATTTATTTCTTTTTATTGTTGTTGTTGTTGTTGTTGTTATTATTATTATTATTAAAACACTCAATAATAATAATATCAGAAAGATTCAGATAAGATTAGGAGAATTCAGATCAGATTAGAAAGATTTAGATCTGATCATAACGGATCAGAAAGATTGAGATCTGATCAGAAAGATTCGGATCAAATCAGATCAGATCAGGAGATTCATATCAGATTAAATCAGAAAAATTCAGATAAGATCTTAAAAAAATCAGATAAAAAACATCCAGATTCGACAAACAAAACAACTTCTTATATGGAAATTAAGTATGTTGAGGAAGCGGTCCAGCCCAGCTGGTCGCCGACTCACTCTCCCTTACATGAGATCTCGGGTTCGAAACTCAATGAAGTGAGTTTCAACCTAGATTACTCTAGACCCCCACCCCCCTCCCCTAGACGCCCCCTGGAGTAAAAAAAAAAAACTACAAAAAAATGGAAATTAAGTATGTTCCCGTCGTAACTATCTCCCAAGAAAAAGCTAAATAAGATATCTTACCTAAAATTAACAATCAAATCAAAGTGGCGCAGTGGAAGCGTGGTGGGCCCATAACCCACAGGTCCTAGGATTGAAACTTGGCTTTGATAATTTATCTTTGGGAAGGGGATCAAATAGACTTTTAACAACTATCAAAAGTCTCATTGTTTTTGCGAAGGATATCATTTTTTTTAAATCAAATAACCATTTTATTGATAATCAAATCTTAACAAGAAACATAACAACTAAAAGCCAAAGCATTATAATCATAGCATTCAATACTACACTAGGGTGAGACAAAGAACAAAAACGTCATATAAAAGCAAAATAATTACATAAATATGACAAAAATAAAGATGGTTTACAAAAATATGACTAGTTACTAGAGTAGTAATGAAATCACAGTAATTCATGTTCAAGTTTTGAACTTAAGTTTTGTAGTAATGAATAGTCATATTTATGTAAATTAGTTTTATTTTAATAATATTCTTGTAAAAAACCTATAAAAGCACTCATGTTTGCTAACCCTGCAACAATGTAGACTCGTACCGCAGCGTGTCTACTCATGCTACTCGAAATGGGTTCGGCTTGACCAGCCACTGCACCGAAAAGGAATTATTGAACTTGCCGGTTTTTCCAGCCACCGGTAAGGAGCCAAGTGCAGAAATTGTTCCGGTTTGACCAACCACCGGAAAGAAAGCAATCCATCCAATGTCATCTTCCTGGATCGGCGGTAGTTCAGGAGGGGGGCGATCGGCCCCTATATCGATGTAGAAGAAATCTTGATTCATGATTGATAAAGAAGTCAATACAAACATCTTACTGGCACACAAGAACATCCGACCAATGATGGCGGGGAATATAGATCTGGCAAGCGACATTTCACCACCGAAAATAATATCTCTAGACAACGCTAGGAAATAAACGTATCAATAGAACTGAAAATACTGATTAAACGAAACTTTTTCCATTATTGAAATCAAAAGAAGAGAAGAAAAGAAGGAAAAGGAGGCGGCGGCTAGTGTTTCCCTTCGCCGCTCCTCTCTCCCCTCGTAAGGTTTCTAAAAGTCACTGCGAAGGATATCATTTAAGTATGATTATTTTGAGAATACAATCAATGAAACCATTTTGACATATTATAGTATAGGCTGTTCTTAAAAACTAAATTAAAACAAGGCTAAAGAGTCAAATAGGTACATGAACTAACTTAAAGTGTTCAATTAGCCCCTTATATAGGAGGTTCTGCCTGGCCGTCGCCAATTGGGGCGGTTCCCGGTGGAATTTTTTGATGAAAGTTTTTGAGCATCTTCTTCATTAAGTCTAGTTTACCCATACCAAATTTCAGCTAAAAATTCAACCGGGAAGGCAGTCAAATGATTTTCCGAAAAGTGTTGCGCTGTTTAGCTGCGCAGTTATATTCAAAAAATCATTTGACTGCCTTCCCGGTTGAATTTTTAGCTTAAATTTAGTATGGGTAAACTAGTCTTAATGAAGAAGATGCTAAAAAAATTGCATCAAAAAATTCCACCGGGAACCGCTTCAATTGGCGTCGGCCGGGCAGAACCTCCTATATAAGGGGCTAATTGAACACTTTAAGTTAGTTCATGTACCTATTTGACCCTTTAGCCTTAAAACAATTATTGTTTACTCTTATGATTCACAGAAATGCACATTTATATTTGAAGTAATGCAAAATTCAAATATGCACATTTACTTTTAAACTTTTGAACAATTGAAATGCATATTTTTCAATTTATGATATGCACATTTATGTTTTACATGATGCACAATACCTAAATCTAACGTTCCAGAATCATTTTCATTTATCTTTTTAGATCATGTTCTCGTATGATCCCTACTATATATAGCACTATCTCGTTTCTATATAAAAAAGTTACACGTTGCTATACTAGGTAATCATCATAATAATATATAATTTAAAGCAAGTTTTTGTGTGGTACTCTAGATATACCCCATGCATCGCACGAGTATTTCGTCTAGTTAATGAGTGAAATGAACAACCTAACTAGGTACAATTGAAGGAGGTCATTTGACCATTCCGTCCCTAACAAAACTTCCAAATGGGTTGGACACACAGTTTAAGATAGTGGGTATTGTGTGATGGAGAATTGTGCAGAGGAGAGAGAAATGTGTAAGAAATGTTGTGAACCACAAATTATTTACCAAAAAGGTAAAGTGAATGTTTTAATTGGGACGGACGAAAAAGAAAAGTTTTGACTGCCTTCCCGATTGAATTTTTACCTGAAATTTGGTATGGAGAAACTAGACTTGATGAAAGACCGAAAATGCCTTTGTCTGGACGGAGGTTCCCGTCAGGCCGGCTGGACAATTAACTCTATATATATATGCACTAAATTTAGCGCGCCGGACCCGGGTCGGCCTGGTGGGTAAAAATATATGTCCAATACCGCCCATTTGTGCAGGTGGGCCGACCCATTTTTGTGCGGGTCTAGACTCTAGTGAGTAACTAACTTAGGGGTGGGTTAGGTCCAAACGGTTCGGTTTTCACCTAAAACCAAATGTTGAATCAAAGTAAAAAGTTCGGTTCAGTTCGGTTCGGTTTTATGCTCAAAAAATTGGAACCATGATTTGTTTGGTTCGGTTTAATTCGGTTCGGTTTCGATTTTTTTCCGGTTTTTGCCAAAACATTTTTGTTGATTAAAAACATAGTAATTGGAAAACTAAAACAAAAATAAAATACATAATACTATAATTAATAGTATTAGAATACACAAACATAATTAGAAAGGAAAGAAGAAACAAATGCACTTCCAAGCAATGAATTAGAGAGTACGTGTATCCGAATTATATTTAAACATCTTCTAAATTATATAAACACATGAGTTTATTTTTAAATTATATATAGTGTATTCGCAAGTTAAAATTTCATTTATAAATGTTGTGTCCACTAATTCATTTTCTTTTTTATCAAAAGACTTTTCTTGATAGTATATAACTTATTCTACTTTCTTTTTAGACAAAGATGTCTATGATATAAAGTTTCACATTTTCGGCTATGTTGTTTAAAGTATAGTTTAGATTAATACATATTTGTTCCATATAAAAAATTATTGATAACAAACATACACAACAAATAATATATCAATAAAATATCATTATCATGTAACAACAAGCAAAATGTAAATTACGATTTAAAATACTAACATATATTAGTATTATAGCAATAGACTTAAGTGTATGGACACGTGTTTCGCTTACTTAAACCATAAATATTAAAAGTCAATATCTTGCAAATCATAATAAATCTAGTACCAAACATTAATTTTCTAGAATTAAAAATTACGAACTAAACAAAATATCATACTTAATGATTAATAAATAAAATAGCAAGTTTTAAAAAGTTCGGTTTGTTCGGTTCGGTTCGGTTTTGAGATGTGAAAATCAAAACCGAAACCAAACAACTTCGGTTCATTTCAATTTTTTGAGTTCGGTTTCGGTTTTCTAGCGGTTCAGTTATTTTGGTTGCGGTTCGGTTCTTTTGTTTGCGGTTCGAGTTTTTTCGATTTGGTTTTTGGTTTCACGGACCCACCCCCTAAAGTAACTCATCATTCGTTCAAACTTCAAAGGTTGTACAGGCCAACTGGCCTATAATATATGCCTGCCCATAATCTCCATTCAAAAATATCTCTTTTCATTAATTTATGTAGAACAATTTTTGTTGTTGTTATAGAAAGGACAAGCTTACTACCAGAATTTAACCATTCATTAATGCCATTTACAAAAAAGAAGAAGATATAATTGCCATACCATTGATTATTTCAACATCGTCCGTCATAAAAGGAAAGGTAGAGAGAAGTTGGTTGGCTGGTTGGAATACGAGTATTATACTGCAGAAATCATAATGGTGTGAAATGGCAGTTGACTCAATAAAACTCTTCTGCCTTCTGATTTCCTTACATCAAGAGAGAAATCCGTAAAAGTGCAGACCAGCTATACCAGTACGAGTCCTGTTCGATCAAATGCCAGATTCCTCCCCTCATTCTAATCGTTTCATGAAGACCACTGCCTGCTTTGATGCAAAGAAAGAAAGATCACTGGTATGATCTTAGCTCTCTCTCTTCAGCAATGTATTGCACCAAGTCTTTATATGTTGGTTTTGTATATTTATTTGCTTTTACTGATTCGAAGTGAGATTTATCATTAAAAAATGGGTCTTTTGAGTTGTGATAGGGAGGAGATGATCGGTTGTCTATGTCTTCTTCAACGTCAGACAACAAAATCAAAAGCCTAAAAGGAGTAAAAGACACGACACAGAATTTCCGGGGCACAATATCGTTCAGAAGAAAGGGGAGAACGAGGATGAAGAAGAAGCCTACTTTAGTTTCAGAAGAGAAGTCGAATTCTTCCTTGCCCATCAACACAGAAGGGAGTTTCCAGGCAAGTCCCCATGGTTCTGAATCTAATGTGGATAGTACTCATAGTAGTGGTGACAGTCAAACTCCTGTCAGTGCTCAACCAAACAAGTTTAAAACATTAATGAAGACTTCTAGCATGAGAGGTGTGAGGCTAAGTTTCAAACCCAGGAAGTGTTCTGTGCGTGTTAAATCAACTTGTGCTTCAACCATCAAGAATTCAAAGTTTCCCGAAAGGGTCGACTCGGAAAGACTATCAGCATATAAAGTTTGTTCATACCATCATTGTTGTCTCAATAAACATTCTCATGACACTCGGCCAAAGACTTTGTCAAATCCTTATAGGAGAAATAGTCCAAATCTCATAGCTACCTCAATCATAGAGGATAGCTGTGTGAACGGAAACACCAATCCGTCTAATAAAGCCAAATTAGACTTGGAGGGCATAATTTCCCAGCCAAGTTCAGCTGGAAAATCTGAACCGAAGAATCGGGCACGACTTGTAGATTATGAATCCAAGTCCTCAACTAAGAAGGAGAAGCATTTCAACATGTGGAACCTTTTCCAACAGCATATGATATCAGATCGTGCTGATGATACAGCAAACCAGTTGGCTGCACCAGAAAGTTCAGAGTCTTGCAGCACAGAAATGGAAAATGCAGATCAGGATGGGGAGAATGAGTTTGAAGTCAAGAAGCTAATTGCTATTAAGCTCGTACGAGAAGCGATAGAGAAGATTCTCCTTCCTGAAGTTTCTGAACTGTCATCGGACAATCAATCAATAGCAAGTGATCAAAGCACTCTTGATCAAGAAACATCAGAATACAACAAAGATGATGGTACGTTTATCTATATTAGCTTAGTGAGTATCCTAAATGTTAAGAATTGGATTTTTTATCCTAAAAAACCAATTATAGAAAAAGTAGTCTTAGGCCTTATATACGAATTTGACCCTATTTGAAGAGGTATAGGAATTGAGTCAGCTTTGCTCATTTGTACACCCCTCAAGTTGTCCAACCTGAGTTATTAAGATAGATCAAGGAGGTGTGTATTGTGTAGAGCATCCTTTTATCGGTTGTCTACTGAGTTTGAGTCTAATATATATATATATATGTGTGTGAGTCAAGCATCAATTCTTGGTAGTTCTATGGGTGAGTTTGGTTCAAATTAAAAGTTAGTATTTCTTCTTTTCTTTGATAGGGAGAACTATAAAACTAGTTTTATTCCTATGCTGCAGATTCAGAGTCAAGTTTGATCACTGATAGCAAAGGTTTCCAGGAAAAAGTAAAAACAATAAGAGAAGTTTCCATAAAACCTGAAAAGAAAGCACCTAAACATTGGAACAATCTAAAGAAATGGATTCTTCTCCAACGGTTCGTCAAAGAATTGGAAAAGGTGAAAAGGATCAATTGTCCAAGGAAAACAAGGCAGCTTGAGCATGATGTTGAGTACGACGCAGAAGCAGAAAAGATGCGCCACCTGAGACCTCAAAACGTCGACGAAAGGAAAAGAACAGAGGAATGGATGCTCGATTACGCACTACAGCAAGCAGTGAGCCAACTTGCTCCTACCCAGAAAAGGAAAGTAGAACTTCTCGTAAGAGCATTCGAAACAGTGGTCCCACCTCAGGGAGGTTGTAGTAATAGTATTCAAACCACACTTCCTAAGCTCAAATCCAACAGTGAAGAAGAGCAAATTACAACAAAAGGGAATGAGTGTTCCCCGAAAGCAGATGAAGTAACAATTTACCATGACAAGAAAGTAGCTACTGAAATTACCCTTGAGGAGGAGACAAAGCATCAACAACCTGAAAAGCAGAAGCACATCAGCATGTGGCATATGATATCTCAACACGTCCTTCCAGGTGTGATCACAAAGGTTGGGACCCAGCTGCTTGATGAAACAGATGATGAGGTCGAGGTCGTAATTACTGTGCGGGGAAGAAAAGCTCGCCAAGATTTCAGTAGGGACGATGCTATTGAGCTTGTGAAAGAGGTGGTTCATGAGATCCTCATAACAAAGGTTCAAGACGATTCATCCGACACACAATTGGTCACTAGTGACATGGTTCCCGGAGAGGAGCTGCCAGTAATAAACCTCCCGCAGAATAATTCAAACCAGGTTCGAGATGGCGACGCTGGTGATAGTATTGTCGTCAAGGAAGAAGAAAAGAAACAAGTGACTCTTTCAAAGTCCAAGAATTGGAGCAAGCTGAAGAGACTCATGTTGTTGAAGAGATCCATCACGGCTCTTCAAAGTGCCAGGAAACCAGAAAAAGTGGAGCTAAGGAATCAGATGATCGATGAGAGGAGGAAGGCGGAGCAATGGATGCTAGATTATGCTGTCCAAAATATTGTCACTAAACTAACACCAGCTCGCAAAAGAAGGGTGGCGATGCTTGTGGAAGCTTTTGAAGCAGTTGTTCCCTTTCCTCAAGTATAATAAACTCCATATGTAGTGCATACACAAGTTCCGAAGGTATAAACCTGAATAAGATCATTGCTTGTATTTATAAGTTTTGCTGATAGGTTATTATATACAAGCCAAAATTTAAAGATCTGAACTAACATATAAGACAAGTCATACTACCCGCTACAATATAAAGATTCAAATTTACATGAGGCACTGAACTACTTATATCAGATTGACTAAAACCCGGAATCTGAAAGGTAACATATAATTTATAACGAACAATATAATGTTATAGGACCACTGATGTTTACCTTTTAGAATGGAACACTATCCAAGGATGAGAAGTCTTTGAAAGTATTATTGTGCGAATAGACTGATTGCACTAGAAATGAGTAAATATTCTGCTGTTGTTTGCAGATATAAAATCAAGATCAAATATGTTTGGATTAGTGAAAAATTGAAAACAATTAAACAAAGCACCTGTTACATGTTTGGAGTCCCCCCTGGCTGCTTTGCTCTAAGAGAGCGTTCGTTAAAATGTAAAGTAAATATTTTGCTTGTGAAATGTAGGGATGTTTCTTGTCCAAAACTTAATTCATTCTAAACTTTTTGTGAAAATTTCCATAATTTTCTGTCCAAAACTTATCTTATACCTAAACTTTCTTGTCCAATACTTTTTTGAATTCATTCTAAAAACAATGGAAGGATGTAAATCGTAAGCATCATCATGCAAATAATATTACACAACATCGTGACTAAACAATCAGGACTGTAAGACCTTATCCAAGAAAAATTGCGGGAAATGAAGCAAAAACTATTGAAAAAAGGATGGGATATTTCGTGTAAATAAAACTTGTTGATCGTATACCACTGCTTTTGTTGCATACCAAATTACCCACACGGTAATGTTAGGTTTGTCATTCCAATTTGCACATCACAATTCACAAAGGGGATGTACAAATCGGTCAAATCCTGTCGATTAGGTCATTATGAGTCTGTTTGGGTAAAAAAGGTCACTATCTACGTAAACCCATACCTGAAATTATTGATCTCAAAATTGTCAAATTAACTCGGGTAAATGTACGAATTGAGTTTAAACACGATGAAGACCACAGTATTACTTGCAAGAAGAAATGAAGAAATCTATATCCACTCCAATTTTTTCGTATTGCAAGAACAAATTCCAAATGCTACGTTATCGCATCAATTCCATAATTGGTCTACATCTTTTGTGGTACATAACTATTGTTTTTCACCCGTATATAGTCTATCCATCAATGTGTCCTGTGATTAAAATCGCTGGAAAAGGACTATGAATGGTCAAAAAACATTAGTCATGTACCAAAAGTGGATAAAATGAAAGATGCGGACAAAATGTAAAATTGACATAAAAATCATTGAGAGCTTCCGATAAATCGCTAGTATAGCTTTAGAGAAAAGGGAAAGCTAATAATAGAGAGATAAAGAACTTGCAATAAATGAGTTGTAAACCCTCTACAACTACCCCAAGGGGTATTTCTAGAGGGAATATGGGTTGGGCTCTCAGGTCTTGGACTTGGGAGGCCGGGAGGCCCGTAGACCTGCACAAAACCGGGTCGGTCCGCCCGCACAAATGAGCGGGCTTGGGCATATATATTTACCCACCGGGCTAGGCCCGGCTCGCAATAAGATTTGGGCGGGCTTCAGTTTAGGGTGTAGGCCCGTTCGGGCCGATAAGCCCGGCCCACAACATTTATATATATACATATATACTAATTTATTTATTTATTTACATGTAGACATGTATATTTATATTTACTAATTTTTCTTTATACATATTTATAGTCTATTATGATTAAATTTATACTTTTAGTTCTTAACAACTAGCTCAACCAATATAATATTTATTTTTGTACTTAAAGATAATACTTTGTGCTTAAATTTTAAATTTTAGATATAGTTTTACATTATTATTTTTTGTATGTGGTGAAAGGCCTATAAAAATAATTAGCATATTAACAATTTTTTAAATGTAATATTATTTTTAAAGTATTATAAAATTTATAATTTTGAAAATTTAAAGTTTTCCCGGGCCAGTGGACTCCCCGGTCCGTTTTTACGGGCGGGTATGGACATGGGGTTAGGCCAGTTTTTGCTGGCCGGGCCGGGCCCGCCCACACATGATGGGCAGAAAATTTATAAAAAGCCCGGCCCAAACCCGTTTTTGTGCAGGTTTAGAGGCCCGATTACAATAATGGGCCGCTAATGGGCTGTTTACATGTGTTCTAATCCGCTAAGGGTAGAATGACGATCTCTGCTAGCGATGGGTCCGGGGTGCGTGGCCGCGTGGGTGCCCCTCGGTCTTGGCGGTGAGAATCCCCAGGTGGGTCTTGGCGGCCCGTGCCGAGGTGTGTTCCTCCGAGGTGGGTGTGTCGAGGTGATGATATGGACAAAAAGTCCATCTCTTCATCCTGGACTGGGTTCTCTAGCTAGGCCTTTAGGTGCCGGTGTAGATTTGGGTCGTCTGTGGGTCCAAGAGTATGTGGATCCGTGCCCATGTTAATTCATTTTTACAGTAAACTTCCAACAAGGTTTTTGCTTAGTATTATTCAAATAAAATTAATAAGCAAAAATGTGATTAAAATTATTATTACTAATATTACGTGTATAATTTCATGATCATTATAATCTAAAATTAAATATAATCACAACCATTTTTTAGACTTTATATGGGAGCCCACATTTTTGTGCACTCACTATTTTAGTTATATGTACATCATTATTTTTTGAAAGGAGTAAGCCTTGGAAGTTGGAGTTCAAGCAATCCAATGTTTTTGGTTGGATTTTATGAGTTTTGGAAGGGGTGGTGATATGAAAATCCCGTTACATGTGGAGCAAAAGTGCTTCATGTATACGCCAGATTATTGTGCACACACTTTTATCTGTGTCAGAGTTAATTCACTTTTGTCACAAATAATTGATTTTACAACAACAGCATTCAAGTCTTAGAAATAATTGATTTTACAAAAATGAAAAAAATTGTAAGTGTACAGAAAAAACGAATGTGCACACGGGTCCAACTTGGCCTGTCCAACTTGACGTGTACAAATAGACTTTTTATTATTTAGAGATAGCAGGCTAACACTCTAGAAAATAGACATTTTCTAGAAAATAGACATTTTCATCTTTGACACCTTGATAATCTTTACACGAGCTTGATATGAGTGTGGCCTTTGTTTTCATCTTCAACAAATGATTTTTTCAAATACACTTTTACACATAAATTTTGACTTATAAAATACTACGTGTAAGGCCTTTTCAAATTTGGAATGGCCTGAACTGAACAAAACCTTACGTAACTATGCCGCTCATTCTTATTCAAATGCCCTTTACTTGAGCAAAAATGCTTAAGGTACACAACTGAATGTACACCGGCAATTTGTTAAGAAAGATGTAGTATTTGTCTTTCAATTGCCTGGGTACACAGGCAATGTACAAAAAGTGTACACTTTTTGAGTACACCAAGCACAACCCTATATCATCCCATTATCATTCAGAATATTGACCTATTGAGTGATTGCTAACTACATTTGGGCAAAAAAAACGAGTATATGAAATAATCAAATCTCATTTCGTTTTGCTGATCCATATCGAATTGCCAACTCGGCCTGGTCGCATTTGTTCCCACTCTTCTTACTCTGCCTCTTCCATTTCATTACTTATTAAAGCTTCATTTATTATTTGGTAATTGAATGCATAAAATGAAATCAAATCATCCCTACAAAATAAAACAGTTTTTTCGTCACGGATTTTTGTCACGATTCTATCCCTAATAGCTTTGTCACAGATTTTGTCATGGAACTTTTCCTCCGTCCACGAAAAGAGTTTGTCACGAATGGAATCCCTGACAAAATTTATCACAGATGAAATTCCTGACAAAATCCGTGACAAAATGCCGCCAATACACACACACAAAATCCGACGAGCCCTTTTTCTTCGCCGGAACTTTGTCACGATGTTGGTCTATGACAAAATTTGTAATTTTCACCCATTATCTTTTGTCACGGATAAATTTGTGACAAAATTTGTGACAAATTAAAGGTGATAATGTTTATGTGACACGGCTGTACATATTCTTTTTGTCACGAACCAATCCGTGACAAGGCAAAATAAATATTTTTCCCACCGGTCCTGTCCTAGGCAGTTCTACTATAAATGTTTGTCACGGAATTTTCCGTGACAAAATCCATGACACGTTTTCCTACATATACAGGAGCCGATTCATTCTATTCTTCATTCACATTATATTATAGTCCCTGTCTGTAGAGAATTTTGATGATGTAATTGGATGTTATTATCCGATTCAATGTGCACAGATAAGGTATGTCATTTGGGTTAATATACTCGTTTACTTTTTTGTTATAAATGAATTTATTTACTTTGTTATTAATTCATTAA